CAGGATAGTCTCGATCTCCTGACCTCGTGATCCACCCGCCTCGGCCTCCCAAAGTGCTGGGATTACAGGCTTGAGCCACCGCGCCCGGCCTCTATATTCTTTAATAAAGAAAAATAAAAAGCTGTTTCCTTATCATTGCACAGAGGAAAAACAGAAGTTGAAAAAACTCCCCCCAGACCGAGTTGGGGCCAACTTTGATCACAGCTCCAGGACCAGTGCAGGCTGGCTGCCCTCTTTTGGCCGAGTCTGGAATAATGGACGACGCTGGCAGTCCAGGTATGTGTTCAGTGCCAGGTCTCCAACCTACCCATCCAACCTCCTTTTTGGAGATATCACCCTTCATCCTGTTAACCCTTTATTTCCTTTCAGACATCAATTCAAAACTGAAGCTGCAGCAATGAAGAAGCAGTCACATACAGAAAAAAGCTAATCATGCTTTACCAACTACCATGAGGCTAAAAGCAAAGTCAACAAACCCCTACTTTCCACCGAATTCTTTATCATTGTCTTTCTTAGGAAACAGACATACTCATTCATTTGATTTAATAAAGTTTTATTTTTCCAAATGTACAATTGGTTGGACCTGTAAAAAAGAAATTAAAAGAATCAGAACCATAAATCAGAACCATAAAGCTTTGTTACCTCCTACTCCATGAGCCCACGCATTCCTACTCACCTATTCATGCATCTTCACCAGCAGCTGGAGCATCTCCGCCCTTGGTATTTCTGGTGTAAATTACTTGAGCTCTGTGCTTTGAAACCAGTTTGATAAGTCCTAGGGAGAGAAGATAGTAGGATGAGATGCTTAATAGATGCTATAATAGAAACTAGTAAGGTTTTTGGTTGGGCATGGTGGCTCATGCTCGTAATCCCACCACTTTGGGAGGTGAAGGCGGGCAGACAGCTTGAGGTAAGGAGTTGCACACCAGCCTGGCCAACATGGTGAAACCCCATCTCTACCGAAGATACAAAAATTAGTGAGGCATGGTGGCACGTGTTTGTAATCTCAGGTACTTGGGAGGCTGAGGTGTGAGGACTGCCTGAACCCAGGAGTTGGTGGTTGCAGTGAGCCAAGATTGCCCCTCTGCACTCCAGCCTGGG